TTTCACTCATAAACTAAACGCCATTCTTGACCGATCATCACTCGCCGACTGCATATTTTTAGACTTTTCGAAAGCATTTGATAAGGTGTGTCATAAGCTTTTACTTCTTAAATTAAGTCAGCTTAATCTCTATCCCAAACTTCTTATATGGCTCGAATACTTCCTCATTAACCGTTCTCAGTTCGTTTCAGCTAACAGCCTCACATCTCCCCCAAGTGGCGTCCACTCCGGCGTGCCCCAAGGCTCTGTGCTTGGCCCTCTCCTTTTTCTTATCTACATTAATGACCTCTCTTCTTGTGTTTCTTCCCATATTCATTTGTTTGCAGATGACTGTGTAATTTTCCGGGAAATTTTATGTGATAACGATATAACCACTCTTCAATCTGACCTTAACGCCATCTCTGTATGGTGCAAAACATGGTGCATGGAACTAAACATTAACAAATGTAAACTTATGCGTGTCTCTAGAAAAAATATTAACTCGCCCGTCTACTCTCTTAATAATGTGCCTTTGGACGCCGTATCTTCTTATAAATACCTTGGTGTCCACATTTCATCTAACCTAACTTGGAGCGTTCACACCTCGTACGTCATTAATAACGCTAACCGCATGCTGGGTTATCTTCGACGTAACTTTGCTAAAGCACCTTCATCCCTAAAACTACTACTCTACAAGGTCCTCATTCGCTCTAAACTCGAATATTCCGTTTCGGTTTGGGATCCAAGCCACGAAAACTTGATACACTCACTTGAAATGGTTCAAAATAATTCTGTTCGTTTCATATTGTCTAACTATAATAGAACTGCAAGCATCAGTACAATGAAATCTAACCTTGATCTGCCATCCCTAACATCCCGCCGCAAAATCTCTCGTCTTTGTCTCTTTCACAAACTGTTTCTTCATCCCTCCTTGCGCGCCGAACATATTTTACCCCCCCAATACATCTCATCTAGATTAGATCATGTTCATAAAGTCGGGATTCCATCGTGTAGAACTAATGCTTTTTTTCAGTCATTCTTTCCTCGCACATCAGTGGAGTGGAATGGCCTTCCCGCCCCCGACAGCAACAATCAAAGATCCCCAGCAGTTCAAGAACGCCATAGCTAACATTGTATAAATAAGAGTCAATTTACTGTACTAATAACCACTGCATTTTTTAACTTTATACTTATACATTGTACCCACTCCCCTCTCTAATGCCTTTGGCCCTGAGGGTATCTGAAATAAATAAATAAATAAATAAATAAGCTGTAACATCGAGAGCTGAAAATGTGGAAGGTGGCCTGAAAAAGGTTGGGCCGCCTGTATTAGCTATAGACAGTTGAGTAGCTGAGAATATTTCTTCTAACCTACGACCTCGGCTGTCAATTGAATCACTTCCCCAAAGCGTATGGTGCGCGTTAAAGTCACCGCAAACAACTAAATTTGGCTTGTGTTGATTGCACCAGTCTTCAAATGCGTCCATCATGTCGTATTCTCTGCCTGGCCTGATGTAAATGGACATAACCGTTATGGTGGTTTTCTTAAAAGACACCTTCACAGCGACAAACTCGGCATCAGCAGTATTTAAAGAATCAGTGGGAATTTGACATCGAGATAACTCACGACGAACGTATAATGCAGCACTTCCATTAGGAAATGTAGAAATTGAAGGGCAGCAGTAAGTCTCGTAACCTGCTATCGAACGGTTGTCGGGAAGTCCTGCCTCAGAGAAAGCAAGGATGGGGATCGGGACCCGCTGTAGGTACAAGGATAATTCTGAAATCTTGGCTTGGAGTCTCCTACAGTTCCATTGAAGGATTGTGGGCACGACATAACTTATGTGGTCTGCAGGCATCGTCACTTTAAATTGAGATGCAGTTATAGTGTCTTTTTACAACGAGAGAATCAAGCTCTCCAGTTGTAGAATGCCTTGAAGTGCTTCCCTGTGAGGTCCTTGTGGCATGCTCATAAGAACCTGACGGAATGTCGCAAAAATTGCTTGAATTATGGTTACTGCAGGCCGATTTGTATCTGTTGGGCGTCCCTCCAGGGCGCTGCTATAACTCTTGTAGCGTCGTGCCTTGTGCTGATGCTGTTGTTGGGTGTCTCGTGAAGACGAATCATGTGAGTGATTCGCGCTGTCGATCTGGTGTTGAGGTAGAGACGGAAAATCTTCCTCTTCGTCCGACATCTGTTGAGAGGTGGTGCTCCGTAGTCTACCGTGAGGTTTTCTTTTCTTTTTTGCTGCCTTCGTGAACCTTGGGGTCGGTGTTGTCTCAGCAACGTCATGCGAGCTTGGAGGAGCTGTTTCTGTTGGTATTTTTCCACCAGGTCGCAGAATTGGGCCGCGCAGAAACGCCTTCGTACGCGCCAGAGCTGCAAGGCGTACTTTGCAGTTTGCGTAATCTGCGGGATGAGGGTCACCACAGTTGGTGCATTTCCTGACATCTCTGGGACAGTCGCGGTGGTGATGCGGTCCACTGCATTTCTTGCATGTGAGGGAGCCTGTGCAGTATTTTGCCACATGTCCCATTGCTTGGCATTTAAAACACCTCGGGGGTGCATCGGTGTGCTCATGAACGCGGTGAGTTGAGAAGCCAAGGCTCACCTCTGATGGCCGTTCCGAGTTTGGGCGAAAGGAGAGGACCACTCTGTCTGTCGGAGTTGTCTCTGTGGTAATTCCATTTCGTCGATAAAGTCTTCTGACGGCAACCACGCCTTGCGGCTGAAGGTATTCTGCGAGCTGTTCCACGGTGTACCATCGAGGTATGCCTTTGATAAGTCCTTTGTTCTGTGTGTAGGCTCTCGGAAGAGACGCTTTGATGGCGACGCCGCAGAGTTCGGTGACTTTGAGTAACCGTTTCACAGCGGCTTCTTCAGCAACGTCTACGAGTAGGCCTCCTTTCTGAGTAAATCTATGGTGAAGAATCTTTCCACCTGCCGCCTTTGTCACATCAACGCTAAGATGCAGCGGGTTCACGTTTTGAAGCTTGGAACCGTCTATTGCTGGCAGCAGCAAGACAGGAACTCCTGTTGTCCTGTTTCGTCGGTGTGTCACAACTGTGAACCCATCGGTTTCATCAGTGGACTCCATCGCATCCGAAGAGTCGTTTTGGTGGTCCTCAATAACTGTAGCCTCCAATGAATGGCTTGAGTTGTCATTTGTTAATTCAGGGCGTTCCTCTGAGGCATCCTGGATGTTTTCGTCGTCTTTTTGAGTCTGGTCCAGGGCAGGTGTGGTCTCTGTTACATGAAAGCCTTTCCTCATCGTGTAGAGTGGGTTGGTCCCCATTTTTGAGGTCGTTGCGTCAGCTACAGCCATTAGGCTTATCCTGGCTGTTGGTGCGGCCGTGCCTGACCACGTCTTTGTATTGGTGGTCTTTTGTATTGGTGGTTTTGTCCCTGCCACCAAGGAATGCTTTGGTCCAGTCGCGGAAGGGTTTCCGTGTTCTGCCGTTGGCTTTTGGGGGGCCATAACCCCCCGAAACAGGGAAAAAGGGAAAAACGCTGGAGCTATGAAATTTACTGCTCCTACCTTGGGAAAACTTCTTCCTCCTGAGCATTGACACTCTACTGTCAGGGGCTCCATTTTGCTGCAGTTGCTATGAAGAACGAGGAAGAAGAGATCCAGGGGTTCCCTCTGAGGGAATATATTAATATCTTCTTGGCTCTCTTCCTTGTAATAAGTCGCAATATATATATATTTTTTTTATAAACATCATCGTTAGATGGCAAAAGTCACCGCCTGATTCAAATTAGGGCGTATTTTTAAAATTAATTTATAGAGTATACACAACGCAATATTGCTCTAATAGCATTGGATATATCCATTACGCTGCGATAAAACAATTATATAATATTATAAAATACCACTATCAAAATCTTAGGGCAGCAATGAAACGAAACCAAGTTATTAAGCTTAAAGATGGCTAGCGACGTGATGGTTGGCTGTTGAGCGCAGCGGCGCTAGGTTGTCCAGACCCTAGCAACGCAGCGACACATCGACAACAAGGTTACTGAATATGGTAGTAGATGGCGCTGTCATGCTTCAAAGCTTCAAATAATCGCGCTTCGTTTATTCTGCTCCGCTTATTCTGCTGCCGCTCGTTGACCGTAGTGGTACTGAATTTGTACGTGAGCTTGCACAAGATAATTTCATTTTCTTCCTTTGCTCAACCATGGAAAGCGGCGTGTTTCTAATTTCGAATCAATTAAAACATAGAAACTAATTCATTTTTTTTTTTTTTTACCGTTTGGGATACCCAAGAGGAAGTTTTGCAGGATCCTGAGACTGACGTCGAAGGTTAACGGGCGTGACGCGGCATGTACAATAAAACCCAAACCGTAATTGGTTCAGGCAGTGTTTAAATCAGGTTCAACTCAATGCTATGTCTGTTTTCTTGATCTGTCTTATTTCTTGCGCTGTCGGGTTACGCAGATGGCTGTGACACCAGCTCACATTGGAAACAAACATCGCGCAAAAACAGGGACAAAGTCAAATAACTACAACGTGCAATCGCATAACGCTCGACCTGCAGAAAAATTTGAATTCTTCGTTTATATTCGCGCTGTTTGTTTCAAATGTAGTGCAGTGTTTCTTGAGAACCGCCACCAATCGGCTGCGTCTCCCAAGGAAGACGGCGTTTGCTTGCGGTGGTCGCCTAACTTCGTTCTCCCCCCGACTCCACAAAACTAGCGCACAAGCGTAATTCAGCCTCCTCACAGCATCGGACCATCAACGACTGCGCGGCGCCCAGCATCGTCTGCGAAAGGCAGCAGTCTCGTCAAATTGCTGCTTTGCACCCAGCGCAGCAGCATTTTAATTTCGGAAAAACGACCGGACTTAATCACACGTCCTCAATTTTTTTATCATCGTGGCCCCAGTGCAGCAGCGGTACCGAAAGATTGACGTCGGAAACAGCCGCGAACGGTTGTTCATTTCTCCATCTTTTTCAGCTCCTCCGCTTGCTCCGCGTTTTCTTCCTCCTTCGTCTATGGCGCCACCTGTTGGAGCTCTATGCGCATGCGCGGGCCGCTCCGTCGACTTCCTGTGTGCACACATCATGTCTCACCCGCATCCCTGATTTTTTTTTTTCCCCTACGAAGGTAGGTGGTTGTCGAGCGATCCCCGCACCGCCTTGTTTTTTGCCACTGTGTGCCTTAAACGTCGCGATCGAATGCCGAGCAACGACAATCGACCACCGACGACCACGATCAGCAACGGGATCGCGGTAAGCCTTTTCGTTTCCTCGCTCAGTCGACGGGCCGTTTCCAACTTTTGTGTGGAAGGAATCCTCCCTTCGTTCTCGGTGATGGCGTCGGAGCCGAGAGGGGTTTGTGTTTTCGCCTCGGCCGCGCTGTATGGGATCCGAACCGGGAGTTCCGGGTTCTTTGTTTGGCACCAGCGCATCTCGAAAGGAAAGAAGACGACATCCGCCGCGTCTTCTTCCCAGTGCGTGCGAATCGCGACGAGCTGCGCTCGGAGGCGTACCCGGGCATCTGTTGGTCATCCTCTCGCTTTTCGGAGCGGGGTGACTCCTGCTCGAGCTTTATCCCCGGAGGTCTTTGTTGCTCTTGCGATCACCGATGGCGAGGGGACCGTGTTCCTTCGCGACGGGCTCCTGGTCGCGTTGACGCGGCGCGAACGACAGCAGCGAGAGCAGCCGGAGGGTTCTCCGTTCCGAAGGCGTGAATCAACAAGTGGCCGTCGATTCGGTTGGGGGTGGGCTCCCGTTCGTCCGCTGCGCCTCCGCTAACCCAGAGACGTAGCGGTGTGTGCGGGTGAAAGCTCGTGCCGGGAAAAGTGAGGTCGCCTTCTCTCGGCTATCTGGGGCAGGCCGAAGACTTCAGGGCAGGCAAATCGGGCGGCCCGGAGAGGAACGGCGAGAGACGAAATGTCCGAATGACATCACCTCCTTGTGCACGTTGCGGCTGTTGATTCGGGCCCCGCAGGCAGTCAGGCTTCTATCGCCGCGATTGACTGAGTATTTGGGTTCATTGCAGGGCTCCCATTGTCTCCTCCCTTTATCTGTCCGCTCCGCGCTTGCAACGGCTCCGAATCCGCGTGTGTGCCGGAGCTGCCTTTCGTGCCGTTGTTCTTTTGTTTTGTGCTTTTCACTCCCTTTCGCAGTTTCCCGGAAAGTGGCGAGGGTTCCTTGGCGGAGCTGTCCGCATTGTTGTTGATAGGCTGTTCATCTTGCGCCGGACGATATTTCGCGGAGGCGGGTAGGGCTGCCTGCTGTTGCCGCGATATTTCGTGTACCCCGGGGCGGCGCAGATTAGCGGCGCTATCCCGCGCCCGTCCGCCCGCCAGCCACCCCCTCCGGAGCCGACCGGGGAAGTTGCTCCCATTTTCGGCGTCGAGCATCTCTGCACACTCCTCGTCCTCTCTTGACGGGCTGTCGAGTGCCGCGCGAGCGTTTCGCCGCGCCGGAGGCTGGTGGTGCAATCGCAACAGGTGCTTTGACTGTGCTTGTGCTAGCGGTGACGCGGACCGAACATCGCAGGCTGACCACGAGCGATTTTCGGTTCGCAAGATCTGTATCGATGACTCGAGTTATGACACCTCGCAAATGTGTGAAGTTCAAACCCGTGCCTGCCCTTAGCTTGCGGGATTTTATCCGCGTAACATAGAACGTCGAGGACACGCCCGTGAACACGTATTACGCGTAGATTTTCTTCAGGCTCGACTCCCGAATACTTTGGCGAGCATGTTTACGTGCTTAGTCGACGAAACGTTGTCCACAAAACCTAATTCCACAAAACGTAACTGCACGAAACGATAGGGGTCCCTCTACATTTGCGAAACAAGATAGGCGAATTGCAAAAAGAGTAAGTACGCATTCGAGCTGATGGCCGCGAGGACGCTCCTCCTCAGTTACTCCTGGCGCCTGCCAACAGCAGAGCGCCTCCGATTGACGTCATCGAATTGTGCTTCCCCCATCTTGCGAAGGATGCCTGATGTGCGATGCTGCATTGCGCCCGTTGCTTGTGAGAGTCCGTCTATACTCCGTTCCCCCTGAATTGAGCTGGGACTAGAAGCTCCGCCTTCAGCGCGAAGTGCTTCCAAAGTGCTTTGGTTGCGCGTGCCTGCGCGTTCACCCTTGTGTTAGCAAGGGCAGAAAGCTGGCGCTGAAGGCGGAGCTTCTAGTCGCATCGTGAACGGAGTATAATAGTTCCTTCCTTGCACGCGCCACACCGCGCATCTCTTTGCTTCGCTACAGCTGTTAGGAGAAGGCGTGTGGTTTTATCTTGTTTTGTATTTTTTTACCTTTCCTAATGCGTCGCAGGCACGGTGGTCGCAGGTTTCTCTTTCGTTCGGAATCGAAGGCACTATCGCACTTCTGGATTTCATACCTTGGTTCCTTGTGACAGCTGCGGAATATGGATTTCACGTTTCATGGTGCAACTGTGTGTGCAGCTGAGTGCATATCATCCTTGAGGTGTAAACGCATTTATAGTTCAGGGGAAGCTCCTGGCCACCTCTTTTCACTTTAGCAGAGCGAACGCTGTGCGAAAGTGGAAAGCATTCACTCTACTAAACTGGAAAGAGGTGGGAGGAGCTTATTGACGAAGTGAGCGATCGAAAGCGTCGCTGTGGTCGGCCTGCTACGATTGACCGAATGCTGACTATGACGTCAGCAAAGAATTTCTCATCGATGGGAATAAGAGGACTGTAGGCACTTCAATTTTGACGGTGTTAGCAGAGTTGCTTTAAGAGCCCAATGATTTAAAGCTTCCACCGCGCTAATTAAAAACACCATCGAACTTGTTGTTCGCAAGGTAATGAAGTCACGTAAGGTAACCACGGGAGGCGGCGTCGCAACTATTCAAGAGAGGGGGAGGGGGGATTTTCCTGCCCCTGGGGCTCCGTATTATTTACGCTAACATTTTAAAATGTCGGAAAGAGAAAAAGGGACCCTGCTTCACCTTCCCTGTTCCGGCGCCACTGCATTAACCTAAATAATTCAACAGAGCACGCAATAGCAAACACAGAAGAAAAAAATGCAGATAAAAGGAAAACCTAAAAACGTGGCTACTCGGAAAAAAAAAATGCTATTGGAGTTTTTTTGTTTTTTTTATGTGTTAGTACAATAACTTAGAATGGTACCATCGCGTGCAGGGAGTCGTAATTCTACGAGCACGTTTTCAACCAAAATCGTCATTTTTCCATATTTCTTTTTCATATCAAGTTTTTCCAAACTAACGTTTACTGTTACAAAAGAAAAAAAAAATCTTTGGATCAAATGTACCGGTGCAATATTAGGAAACTAAGAGGGGTGCATTTCAATTGTTTTGTTGTTATTTCTTTTTTTCTTTTTTTTATTTCTCGTGAGAGAAAAAGGTTGTAGCTTTAGATTGTAGTTTATTTGTGCCTTTTTGATTTTCGGTTATTTGCCCCTCCTCGTTGGTCGGTTAGTAAAAAAAAACAAAAAAACGTTTAGTAGTTTAACAGTGGAAATGCTCGAAAGGTTGCCGCCGGCTATGAGCGACGGCGGCAAGCGGGCAACCACTCTGCACAGCTACCGCCATCTGTGAGCGACGGCGGCAACTAGAGTTTTGTGTCGACATTTCTTTGCGGGGGACACGATCCTGGGGAAACTAGCCCCTTACAGCTACGCTGTAAAAAAAAAAAAAAAAGAAAAAAGAAAAAAAAAGAGTTATATTAACACCTCTTGGTTAGTGTGGGAATGAACGGCTTGAGGATCTTTTAGAAGGAGTGACTTCAGTAGATTCTTTCCGAAAAAAAAAACAAAAAACAAAAAAAAAACGTGAGGAAACAAAGCGCGACGAAAGCCGAAAAAGTTGGGAAAGTCAAGGGGAACGGCACCGCTTTTTGTCGCGCCTTTTTTGACGCCCAACCCAAACGTTTCCTACCGGGGTTCACCTGAGCACCTTTCGATGGACCTCGGCCCTCGAGCTACATAGAGCGTGTGCCTGGGAGGAACCCACGCCGATCAGAATCGCGACATCTTTGAGGATCGTCTGAAAGGCACGGGGCGGGCCAGTGCTCCGCGAGTGACGAGAAAAACGAATGTCAGCATACGGGATGTTTTACAGATTTTATAAACAGGCGGAATAGCTACGTATTTTGCCATAGTTGTCATGAATGGCCATCAAACTCGTAAAGTTTACCTGTTTAATGCCCCCCCCCCCTGTCCCTCCTTCCCTCCCTCCCTCCCCTTCCAAAATTTTTAACACCCCAAAGAGTCTTGGACAAACTGCTGCCGTGGCGATGTTTAGCTAACATAGTTTTTGCAGTCCCGATACCTCACATGGCGAATGGCATGCATCCAAGTGACAAGGCGTGCGAGCAACCGATACCACTATGACTGCCCCTTCGAAGGCTCCGGATCGAAACTTTCGAGTCGGCCTAACGCTGGGTTCTCTTTGCCAACGTTCCAGTCTCTCGCCGACCTTTGAAGCATTGCTGTTCGCGCGCGCGCCTACCACGTTGCTCTCTGCACACCCCAGCGAGACGCCGGTTCGGCAAAAACTTGCCGACTGCGCGAGGGCCAAGTCCGCTCATCGAACGACATTCGTTGCTACATCAAGATTTTTGTGGTTGCTATTTTTTGATTGCGTGACAAAAATGACTTCTAGGTTTTCGATTTTTTTTCTCTTTGGGGGGGGGGGGGGGGGGGGGGGAGGGGGAGGGGGAGGGGGAGGGGGAGGGGGGCTTTCATTATAATTCACCCGTTATTTAATCGAAGCGGTGAGTTAACGGGGCGTGATCGCAGTCTCGAACGACGCGGAATGGTTCGAAGCCACTGCTGCAGAGTCCAGACGCGGTGCAGCGCGGCGCAGTCTCCCTCGGGGCTGCATCCGGACGGGTGTTTATGTGCGGCGGACTCTGCGGTGCGTCGTTCCGAGACATGGTTCAGACAGACGCGCTAAAGGGTACACAGCGAGTGCTCCGGCACAAACACCCACGTCATCGGGGACACCTGTACCTCACGGCGAGACAGCGCGAGAGTGACGTCGGCTCTGTTTCGCATCTTACTATTGGCGATCTCCAAATTTTACCTCTCGAGTTGAAGCTCCTAATCAGCGCCTTTCACCGCACAAGTAGTTTTAATAACGACCTTTATAGCTCGTTGTGTCGCGCCCTGCACATGCGGTTTTGTCTGGATGGACGTTTCAAGTAGGCTCGAAATTACAATTGGTTCAGATGTTTCGGTTGGGCTGGCAGAAACTTCCGGTTTATCCCAACTTGCAGTCGAATTGAGCT